AAAAACAAAAAAAAAATCACGAATAAGCTAGCCTCACCTTCAAAAACCGTTCCGCTGTTTTTGCAGCCATTTCTCTGTCAGAGTCATCTCCTCTAGAAAAAAAAACTGGGATAAGCACACTTGGAAAATTGAATGTGGGTATGAAGTATCGATGTGATATCCGACAAAGGATAGCTGTTAATAATACGCTATTGTGTTGGAATATAAAATGTTATTATGTTGGACTTTAACAGATAAATCAGTATTACCAAGTTGGTTGTGAATCCAAAAAAAAAAGAAACAAATAGGGTTACCAATTTCTATTTTTGCTCGCTCAAGAATCACATTCTTTCGCAAATTGGTAAGAGTTTTGACCTAAAATAATTGGCGAAAAAATTATTCGCTCATCTTAACTATTTTTCCCGGCGGAGAGAAGCTTTGTTATAAGTATTGAAATCCAAGTTGCAGTACAGAGAAGAGCCTTTACCCCACATTTTCTTCAAAACTGTTTAGTTAAGGAATAGCTTAATTTTAAGTGTAGAATAAAGTAGATTCCTCATGAAATGCTATCAATAAAGGCATCAAAGTATTTACCAATACATTATGATGATGATGACTAGCAAAGACGAAAAACATTTCAACTTAATACTTGCAAAGTTATTGCTTTGAATTAATTTAGTAACGAAGATGCTTTATGCGCAGCGAGAGCGAAAAAAGGGCGAGCAGCTTAAATTTCTTTTCAAATAACCAACAAAGTTGCGCTTGCCAAGAATGGTGCAAATCGTCAGATGCGAAGATTTCCGACAGCTGATTTATGTATATCCCCAACAACTGGCTACCATGATAACTCTTTAAACCAGTATTAACTTTGAAAACTCTCACTTCTCCTCGGCGTGGTCCAACACTTCTCCGCCAATTATCTCGTTATCGGGATTGAGCACAATTTCTATCATATTGTACAACGCTCTCTCACCCCATTCAAGATCACGGCGAGCCCGATTAAACGCTTGCAAAGCGGCATTCGGTTCTCCAGAATACCTGCAACAGTGTCTTAAGCGCACAATCATAAATCTCTGAGAAATCTTGCTGACTATTATGAGCAGACTGCGAAATAGTTATAGTCTCTGCGCGCAGCAGCTGCCACGAAAAGATGGACAGTAGTTCGTGTGTTTACTGTCTGTAAAGACATCGACAGATGTGGACAAAGACTACTGCTTTTGATTCACACAATTTATTTTCCCGCGCAGTAATGAGAATATAAATGGGGTCAAGCGAAGAAAAAACAGCCATCTCTCATTGGTATCAAAATATTAAACATGCTAACCATTCATGCAATCCCTTGCAGTAGTTATATCCAGCGTCAACGGAGGCTCGTGGATTATTCTCAATAGCTTTTTTAAGGAATTTGTCTGCTTGGTCAACATGACCAGCGCGCCACGCTAGCTCCAGGCATCGAGCCAAGGCATGA